ACTATTGTATTATAGAATTAACAGGTTCCCTTTACAGGATAATTATTGTATTGTAGAATTAACAGACTCCCTTTACCGAATGATTATTGTATCATAGAGTTATCAGGTTCCCATTACAGGATAACTATTGTATTGTATAATTAACAGGCTCCCTTTACCGAATGATTATTGTATAATAGAGTTATCAGGTTCCCTTTACAGGATAATTATTGTATTGTAGAATTAACAGGTTCCCTTTACAGGATGATTACTTTATCATAGAGTTATCAGGTTCCCTTTACAGGATAATTTTTGTGTAATAGAGTTATCAGGTTTCCCTTACATCATAATTATTGCATTGTAGAATTAACAGGTTCTGCTTACAGGATAATTATTGTATTGCAGAATTAACAGGCTCCCTTTACCGAATGATTATTGTATCATAGAGTTATCAGGTTCCCTTTACAGGATAACTATTGTATTGTAGAATTAACAGGTTCCCTTTACAGGATAATCATTGTATTGTAGAGTTATCAGATTCCCTTTACAGGATAATCATTGTATTGTAGAGTTATCAGGTTCCCTTTACATGATAACTATTGTATTGTAGAATTAACAGGTTCCCTTTACAGGATAATCATTGTATTGTAGAGATATCAGGTTCCCTTCACAGGGTGATTATTTTAATGTAGAGATAACAGACTCCCTTTACAATATTTTATTGTACCATAGAGTTAATAGGTTTCCTTTACAGGATAATGATTGTATTGTAGAATTAACAGGTCCTGTTTACAGGATAATTATTGTATTAAAGAATTAACAGGTTCTGTTTACAGGATAAATATTGTATTATAGAATTAACAGGTTCTGTTTACAGGATAATTAATAATTAGTATAATGAACAGATTCTGTTTACAGGTTAATTATTGTATTATAGAATCAGCAGGTTCTGTTTACAGGATAAATATTGTATTGTATAATGAACAGGTTCTGTTTACTGGATAATTATTGTATTATAGAATTAACAGGTTCTGTTTACAGGATAAATATTGTATTGTATAATGAACAGGTTCTGTTTACAGGATAATTATTGTATTATAGAATTAACAGGTTCTGTTTACAGGATAAATATTGTATTGTATAATGAACAGGTTCTGTTTACAGGATAATTATTGTATTATAGAATTAACAGGTTCTGTTTACAGGATAATTATTGTATTATAGAAACTCT